ATAATTTATATATAATACTAAACAGACGATAGCAAACTCAATTTAGCCGCTCCGTAGCGTGGCGCAGGGTCGGAGGAAAGTAGTTCGGCTGCTCATCCACTATTGGTCCAGACTCTATCAATCTTGTCGCGAAACGACGTTATAGGAGGTACGTTATACGAAAGTTGCTACAATTTTTTCGCTACGTTATAGGAATTGTCGTTATAGGAACGTACGTTATAGGGGGGTCGACTGTACAGGTGTCCCTTTGGAAAATTTAAAAAAACACCAACCATTTTGCCAGTTTTAAATTTTTTTACCACTCGAATTATTTATTGTCACCAATTTTACTTACTAATTAATGAAGGTGCTTGTAGTCTTGTTTGTTTTCTAGACTCCAAATTGATAACATGCTAAGATGTCACTTAAAATAGAAATCATTTTTTCAATAATTTTTAAAATGAATAATTTCAAACAATACATTTGATCACAATGCTTAAACAGTATTTCCCAGATTCTGTCATCAAAATTTTTTGCTTTAGTTGAAACATGCTGAATGTCAAATAAGCAGACTAGGATTTTTATCATCGCTTAAAAATATCATCAACTGGTGACTCTTGAAATTATATTAAATAATAATAATGCAAAGAGTAACTTTTTACATACATACGCATGTAAAAAAGTTACTCTTTAGTATCAGTATATGCCAATTGAATTTCAATCACATTAATAAAGCACTGTTAAAACAGTTATGGAAGCAATCAAGAAACTTTTACTATTGTCATTCATCAAATGACAAATCATGTAAGTTTATATAAGTTATTGTGTGTTTAACAGTGAAATATGGATTCATAGACCATTTTTAAATGGTCTTTACTGGTTATATGATGACTTTCTGTTTGTTTACAGTTAAAAATTAGCAAAATTTTGCATTAAAATTTCATAGCTTGAACAATCTTCTGCAGTAAAATAGTTAACCTTTTCTCAGCATTAAAAACACTCAAATACAGGTAACCCCCGTATAACACGGTACTTTTATAGCACGGATTCACTCTGACACGGTTCGAGAAGTGGGTAAAACCCTCGTACAACATGAAATATAATAAATTTTTACATACTTAAGTAATAATAGTTCACGAAAATAATAATTTTCGTGAACTATTAGTAATTAAGTAAGTAATTTTCTCTTCTTGCCTTCTGTCGATACACGTGGTCCTTCTCGAAACTTGTTTCAATGTTGCCAGATTGCAACGCTTCTGCTTCTGATGTTGCCGAATGTTTTTCCCTTATTCCATACTTGCTTTATTCTTCATAAGTGCTTAGCACCATATAAGGAAATTTATAAAAACCTTTTAACTAGAAGCAAGCAATCTAAAATTACATACATTTTGCAAAAGGTAAAGCATGGATCTGAAGATAATGCAGAAAAATGCTCAGAGGATAAGGATAACTTGCCAAAAAGAAAACGCTCTCGGTTAATTAATAGTGTTTTTAGTGATGACGAAGAAAACATTGTTTAATTTATATTAATATGTATCACTTAAAAATTTTTTATGAAGATATTTATCTTAATTATGAGAATATATTAGCATGTTTTTTAATTTTGGAACCTAACCCTCCTTTTCGTATTAGTTCTTTGTTTCGTATAACACGGCAATTTTTTGGAACGTAACTACTGTGTTATACGGGGTAACCTGTATTTTAGACTTGTATATGTTAAGTAAGATATTTATCTTTATTTTCATAATTGCTTTCTACCAAGAGTTAATTGTCATATCTTAATTTTTCAACAATGTATTTCCAAGCTGTTGGCAATCTTTAGCATCCCCTAGTGTCCAGACATAGAAAGAATTTACAATCTTTTTTTAGCTAAAGATTGACAAATGTACTGGTTGAGAGATCTCAACTTCCTTCCATTAAATTTCCTATTAAATTAGTCCAAGAAATTTTTTTGAGTTGGCAAATTTTCATATTTTTAGGTAATATTTCAATGTGGAACTGAAAATGTGCTTTTGAATGTCACTGAACCAACAAAATGCCAATATCAAGCTATATTTATGACTCCATTCATCTGCCACAAGGATTCTATGCTGGTCTATCCAAGACTACCTCCTCCTCTTCGCCACAAATGGGACAATTTGGAGACAGATTTGGCTCTAGGCTACATAACACTAAAGGTATGTCTGAAAAGTGATTCACTTTAAAAAATTTTTGAAAACTGAAGTATTAAAATTTCATCTAGGGCTATCAAATTGGTCTGAGAAATCTTTTTGAGTTGGCAAACTTTCAGCAACTGCAATCCGTTGCAGAAGAAACAACCATAACTTTGACTACTACTGCAATGCCAAACAGGCAAACAGGATTTGAAAATGTTGAACAGTGTAAAAATGTAAGTATCTAAAGGGTCTCTCAACAATGTATGTCATTTTAAATTTCACATCATTTTTCAACTGTCATTGCGGTGACATTTGACAAGTAAAAACTAGGAGTTTCAGATATGGTTTGATATACATTCGCACAACGCATTGAAATAGTGAAAATATTGCAGAGACAGTTTGTAAAGTTTCCACTGCTTGTGGTTATCTTCAAGTGCCTTCTTGCACAGCTATAGTGAATTTAATCAATAAATTCGAACATCTCAGACAAGTTAATGATGTGAAGACTCCAACTCGTGCTAATCTGGCCAGGTCAGCTGAAAATATCGCTGCTGTAGCTGTGTGGCTGAAAACCAAGGTTTGTCCATTTCGAGACAATCACAAACCAGTTTGCACCTCATTTTGCATAAAGATCTTGGTCTATATCATCCTTTTTCAAAGTGGGCGATAATGCCCCCTTGTGGGCACTGGAAGCTTTCAGGGGGGCAGTAGAAGGCTCAGTGATTAAATATGAGTTTTATTTCTTATTGAAACATTCTTTGATCTCAGAAATAGGATATGGGTCACACCCTATCTATCCTATCCATATAATATGCATGTTTAAACATTATATTTGCAATAACTGTTTTTAAGATAAACAACAAATGGTAATGCAAAAAGATAAGTTAAAAAATATGGGAGCAGTAGATTTTTTTTTAATCTCAAAGTGGACAGTGGTTGAAATAATTTTGAGAACCTGTGGTCTACATGCTTATAAGTTGCAGTTGACACAGGAATTGAAGCCAGCAGATCACGCACAACACTGTACATTCGCTGATTGGGTGCTGGAAATGCATGAACAAAATCATGATTTTTTTAAACAAAATTATTCTGAGTGATGAGGCTCATTTTCATCTGTCTGGGTACGTAAACAAGCAAAACTGTAGCATCTGGACTCCAAAAACCCAAGAGAAATAGTTGAACAACCTCTCCAACTACAACAAGTGACAGTTTGGTGAGGTGTAATTGGGCCATACTTTCTCGAAAATACTCCTGGTTCGACCATTACAGTGAATAGATTGCATTACTGAACGATGTTGACTGACTTTTTTTGAGCCTAAAATTGATGCTACAGATGCGGACAATGCTTATTTTCAGCAGGACAGCACCACCTGCCACACAGTTTGTGAAATAATGGCTCTATTGCGTGAAAAATTTCCTGAACGTGTGATTTCTCGAAATGGAGACTTCAATTGGCCGCTGAGATTGTGTGATTTAACACCATTAGACTTTTTTCTTTGGGGCTACATTACAGATGAAGTCTACACCAATGCTTCCAGCAACAATTCAAGCACCCAAAGGTGAAATACAGCCACTATTATGCGAAAACATGATCATTCTTTTGATGAAATTTTTCATTGTTTGTAAGAAGAGCCAAGGCGGACATTTGGCATATAGTGTGTTCCATTACTAACCTCAGAGTTTGTGTTTTGGATTAAAATAAAAATATAGTTTTTCTGTTGATTTAAAATGACGCTTCTTGTTGAAAGACCCTGTACATGATGATTTTTTTTTACTTAATATTTATCAAATGATGTCATTATAAAAGGCATATGAAGAATTAAGGAAGGAAATGGATGATTTAAAACAACAAATTGAATCACTTAAGCTTGTAATGGATTTAAAAAGTGTAAAAGGTAATAACTTGTTTTAAATACTTTGTCATGAATCATTATAAAACGAGAAATATTTATTCAGATTTTCTTTTCCAGATAAAACTAGTCAGCCATGAGATTATTATACTGTACATATCTTTGGTTTAAAAAAATATTCTTTAGAGTGCCAACAATTCAAGACTTCTTTGCTTTCAAAAATGGTTGATGGAAAACGTCGTGAAGTCGAGATGCCTGAAAATTAAATAAGACTCTATTAGTCATTGTTTTTTTATAAAACAACAGAATATGATAAAGACAAACAATTTAATAGATTGAGCTCAGAGTGTTTAAATGAATATCATAATAAGAGTAATGGTTGCATGCGTTAATAGAGGTTACTCTGCTGCTGTTTGTAGGCATTTAGGTACGATGGTAAAAGAAAGATGGCGCCACCCATACTACTGATAGTATCATGTTGGAGTATATGCAGTAGTAGTTTCCCAATTGTAAAATTTAACCATAAAATGGATTATCTTGCCAACAGAGCATTCAAAAAACTTAGAAGCTGGCTTCCATTTGAGAAGAAGACACATCACCACATGCACATGCTTTCACAGCTTCTAAATTTTCATTCATAAAACCACATAATGTACACTGAAACAAAACTATCTGAGCCATGGAGGACGCCTTGTTACTTTCCATTGTAAACTACAACTACAACTAAAAGCAGCCATTTTTTGCCATCTGACAGTACACATCCTGATCAGAATATAGGAACACATTCTGCAGGAATTTTTAAACAGATGTCGCTCACTCGGAGTTACGTGGAGGAATAAAAGAATGAACCCAATATTTTGACAGTCAATCAAGAGAATTTTTTAAGCCACCTAGTTGCAAATGAGCTTGTAGAGATCAAATAAACAAAAATACTGCTAATGTGCAGTTCAACCATATTTTAAATATGGCAAGATAGTGCTATGTGGCAAAGGGAACTTGAAAAAATTCATAATGTAGCAAATTAAACAGCAAACAGAAATGAGTGTTCCTCTCTTTTTAGAAGTATGACTTATCTATTATAAGGGGAAGACCAACCTGCAGAACTTTATAGTCCCCATATTTGCTTATTTGATGATAATTCTAATATTTTGTTTGTTCAATAAGTTATTTATATATATGGCTCTCTATAGTATTAAGACTTCCATACAGTTTGTATTTTTGATATCTTTAAAATGTTTATTATGCTAAAAATTCTAATACAGCTAAATAAATATATTTGATTCTGATCTCTCTTGTATATAGATAATTGACAACTGAATAAAGAATACTTCACTAATGAGGAATGATGTATTTTATGTATTTCTTAAAGTTAATCAAAAAGAAAATTTTAACATAATGTTAGCTTTATATTTTCTATATTTTGTAGAATATCAGTTTTAATCATAAAAAAATTTTAATAAACTTACTTTTTGTGGTCCCATTCCAGGACACAGAGCTATTTCTTCAGACGTTGCTTGCAAAAGATTTTCTAATGTCTAAAAATTAAATTGTCAGTCATCTTTGGCAATTCAATTAGATCAAATATTTTATATATTAGATAAACTTACTCCAAATATTGATAATAAGGTTACTGCATTAGTTTTATTTACGGATCTCACAGAAGTCAAGGAATCAATCAATTGAGAGTATCTATCATTATCTTGCTTCTCCATGATTAGTTCTGGAGATTTATTTTCAAAAATTTTATAAGTTTCTATGTATCTCCCTGCTTCTTCTGAACTAAATAAAAGAAAGAAATTTGTAATATTTGCTTTTTTCCCCCTCCCTTTAAAAAATATAAATTTACCTCCAAACTAACATGAGAGTGCAATTAGCTAATATAGCTATCTGGGATAATTCTTTTAATGCTGGATGTGGATCAATCTTAAAATAATAATAAAATTCTGTATTTCAGAAACTTAAACATTAATTACTTATTTATTTATATGATACTCAAAACATACAACGTCGATGTGAACCAATAAGACACGTAACTCATAAGAGCGACCTAATGATTTTAATCTCTCGTGTATGTAGTTCGGATACAAGTTATGATACTTTAAACTGAAATGAACAAAATTATAATTATTTCTCTTGACAGTGAAAAAAGTAATTAAAAAATAACATAAATAAAATTGGTTTTACCTTAAGTAAAGAGCACAAGTTGTCTTTCCCATGATGTAATCTGGCTCGATTTCTCCATACTCCCAAGGAATGTTGCGTATGTGTTTCAAAAGAGGATTTCCACGCTGAAAGTAAAATTTATTTTTAATTATAATTCAAAAATAATTTCAGTCAAGTTGCTGTCAAAACAAATATTGTTTTTATTAGAGTTTAATATCATAAGAAAGTTAACAGGCCTCTTTCAAGGAGCATAATGATTTTTTTCATTAAGTACTTTCAAGGTTTTCCTTAATCTTTGAATTAACATTTGAATTTATTTAAAATCAAGCTGTATTCTCACTCCAATTCCTTTAAACATTGACATAATCTAAAAGCTTGCATTGATGTTACTACTTGCATAAGATCATACTATTTTTAATGATGTTCAAAAAGTTGCAATTTATTTGAATTCGGAAGACTGATTAAATATTCTTACAGTAATCTAAGAAATCACTAGGCTCCTCAAAAAGGGACCTACTAATTTTAACTGTTAGTTTAAATTTTGATTTACTCCATGCTTGCATATTTATAGACACGTATATTTCAATCATGTCAAAGATAAATTCAATATATTGAATAGTATAATGCATATTTAACATATTGAATTGAATTTTTTATTTGGAGACTTACTACAGTGGGTGATCGGTTAACGAACAGATCGGATAACGAACAAATCGGATAACAAACACTTTCGCAAAAAATTTTTATGTTCGGACAACGAACACATGATCGGATAATGAACACCCCACAGAACAAACACAAGAAGATACGACATAAAATAATGAATATCAATTGGTCTTCCCTTGTCTTCGGGCAACAATTTGAAACTTTTCGGAGGTATGGGAGACGTCAACATCGACGCTCAAGCCGGTATATACCGATTGGATAGTATTCCTTCGAACTTTGAAACTCTCTCTTGTAATTCCAGCCTTTTATTTTTCTGACAAAACAATTCTTTTATGTATTCGCGAGACCGTCGGGTAGGCACTCGTTAAGTTTTGCGTCTGTTTTTCTTTTCGAAAGGTGAGAGTATAATAGCAAAGGTATAAAGTGGACAGAAGATGTCTGATGTTGGTGTGCAGTATGGCGTGAACAGGTCTACCGTAGGCCGCAGTTCAATCTTATCTAAGAAAAATACTGTATAATCAAAAAGACTGAAGCAGCTAAAGGAGTAACAAAAATCACATCTGAGAAATAAAGAACATCGAAGAGTTCATAAAGGAACCTGAAATGGATCTGATGACAGAAGAACGCCAAGAACTCTTGAATGAAGAACACCAAGAAACTCGGCAAGATGTTTTCTTCTAAAAAAGAGGATTAATACCAATATCTGTTATTAAAGATCCTTTGAAGAAGTGGGATGATGTCAGAATGACGGTCTTAGAATGGCATCCAAACTAGGTTGAGGCTTGGGGATTTCTACAATTGCAATACTATTAATTACTTACGAAAAATCTTAAAGAAGAGAGAAGAGCAATCGACATTAGACAGATTCTTTAACCCTTCCAAACGGAAAAAACATGACTAATAAAAATGCAAGACTGTGTACTGTACGTATTTTTATTACTACATATAAATAAACGTAGTAAGAAAGTATATATTTTTTTATTTTGGGGGGTCTCCAGAACGAATTAATTAAATTTCCATTAAAACCTATGTTTTAATGGAAATTTAATTAATTTGTTCCGATAATCGGTTGTAACCGATAATCGGTTAACGAACAATTCGGATAGCGAACAAAGTCTTGGAACAGATTATGTTCGTTAACCGATCACCCACTGTACTTCCTTATGTGAGAACATAAATTTAATGAAAATTTCAATTAAACACAAGTTGCAGCAATGCTGATATTATATTGTTATCTACAGTTAATATCTTTACAAGGATCTTTTATTTTTTTTAATTAACTTCACTATGGTGAAAAATTCTTAAAATTCAGTTAAAGTATGTTAGAGATATGATTGTTCTGTTTAAAGATTAAGTTTAAAATATAAAAAAAAAGTCTTAAAGAAATTAAAATGCAATAAAAAGTAAAAAATAAATTTTCTTAAACTTTTGCAGCATTCTTGGTATTATTCAACCAAAAATAAAAGCATGAAATGTTCATGAGAGCCAAGAAAATTGATATTCTTAGTTACACTTACTATTTCTAAACATGAACATCCAGCTTTTATTTTTTTTAAATTAATTTTAGAAAAAATTTATTATTTACTTTTTGTGATGTTTGTGAATAAAAAGAGTTTCTTTAAAACTTTTTTTTTTATATTTTTCATTTTATACCTTTTACTTTTATATATGTAACACTGAATTATTGAAATTCTTGTTTTAACATTTAATTGGGAAGTGGGTGAAAACTGAGATATTTTATCTGGACAAAGTTAATAAAAAGCCTATAAAAAAACGTATTCACATGCACATATAAAAAATTTTTTTTATCAAAAACTAATAAAAATCTCTAAATATGCACAAAAAAAATCAAATCAGACTAATTTACTTGTATGTTAAATAAAACTAAGAAAATGACCAAAATAATGATAATTCCAAAACAACAGGACCACAGATTTCAAACCAGAATGTCAATAACCTTGTTCAAGCTAGAATAAGGTTATTAATATGAGGAGGTCCACTCAGAAGTTTTATTGACCACCAGCCAAAATATCAATAATTCTGGGAAGAACACTGCATTTATTATAAACTTAATGTATAGATTAACTAATTTAAGTAAATTTCCGAACTTGAAGACTAAGAAAATTTAAAATATACTTTTTATGAGCCAGATAAGATTTATCCAAAAATTTTAGGGAAGATTAAAATAGAAATAATCACAATTTTGTAACTGGCCAAATTTCTATTGCTCATAAATTAGCTAAAAAAAGTTTGCTATCATATTAAATTTAAGAAATATATTTAGTCAGGATGTGAATTTTTCACACATCATTATTTAAGGTAGCACAAAAGAATAATGGTGCAAAACTTGGAGCTTCTCTTTCATCTATAAATATTATGATTGTAGGTATCAAAAACTATTTGTTATCATTACATGGACCGTTTATTTTGAAAGTGGTGTAAGTCCATTTTTGGAAAAAATTGAGAAAACACATAATATACATACAATTTAGTGTGAACTTTTTATTTATAAACAATTCACACTTAACATTTTAAAATAACCATAAGCTTTGATCAATTGAAAATTTATCGATAAATGACATTGCATAACCATTGATTTTGAAAGTGGTATAAGTCCATTTTCTACAGTCTAAGCACTTGGGCTATCCATAAATTACATGTGCATTTTTCTTGAAATGTTTACTTTTCCCTCTTGTCCCAGTTTGTCCAAGTTTTTGTAACCCCTTTCCCTCTATGGATGTCCAACATAACTCTATCCCTGTTAAAACCTTCATCACTTTATGAATGATAGATACCATAAGTAGAAATGAAACATACAAGAAACTTTGAAATAAATATAATAAAATGCATATTGTATAAAATTTAATGAAATAAATGGATGTCCACTAATACTCAACCCTCCTTGTCCAACTTGTCTTAACCCCTCCCTCCCTTTCAGTGTGGACATCATTTAAAGACAGCCCCTTACAACAGAAGAGTAAAACTGTAAATATTACCAACAAATGTACAATTTGATGGACTAGAAAAAAATCCATGTAATGAATCTAAATGAAAAGCAGTGTCTAATGGTAAGCTCATAATAATGATAAATTTATCATAAAATAGTTTAACAATAAGTAAATATTTTTAATGTTCAGAATAAACAATACTATTTTATTTCTTGTTATTATATATGAACAAAATCAGAATAAAACGCAATGTGTTTCAAGTGACATTGAGTTTTACATAATAGAAATTTAATGAATTTTACAGTTTAGTAATTATGAAAGTGGTGTAAGTCCATTTATGGCCCAGAAAGAATATATTAGTTTGGATAAATTCACATAGAAGTCTTTATGCAATCAACTTACATATTTCTAAAGTCATAGAAACATTGTCAAACTTAGTACACTTTGTTTATATTTTTGAATCAACTAAAATGCAAATGTTTAAATATCTCGAAAGAAGAAAAAATGGACTTACACCACTTTCAAAATAAACGGTCCACATATCAAAACTATCAAATTGGATTAATGAAGAAAATATTCTTAATATTCTTACTTGACAAGAATTAACAATAATGGAATTCTTGTTTGGTGCAATTTTTTCAACTGACTTTTCTGCTGCTTGTTTGGTACTGGAAAAAAAAATATATTTATAACTAAAATTAAGTTTACAATTTCAAATCAAAATAATTAATAAAATTTAAATTTATTAATTCTACAATAAAGAAGTTTTCTTTAACAATGTAGTTCTTATTTAACTAATTGAATCTTTAACTCATTTAAATGAATAATAATTTGAATTTGAAGAGCCAGCAGCCCTTCAAATGTCATGTTAAATGTTAATTTAATCTTTACATTATTTTTTATATTCATTTTATATTTCTTTAGGATTAAATAAAATCCTAAAGAAATTTAGATATTTTTTGTTATGTTTAGTTATACAAAAGAATTATTTTTATAAGTGATTTCACAAATTATGTTATAAAGTTCAGTGAAGATAAATATTAATATGTAATGGATAAATTAAGAAATATAAATTAATGTTTTAACAATTTTTCCACAGAATAAGAACAATTTTACCTAGGAATAATATACTTATATGCAAGCAAGAATTCTTTTAGATTCTGAAAGATTATGCAACTGTTTTATTAAAATAAATTTAGAATGGCATCGATGCATCTTTTATCACATATATAAACATCCCAAAGTCTGATGTACTAAATTACTTAATTTATAATTATTAATTGTATTATAAAATAATTTGATTAATTAAAGTTTTCATTTCGTTTATCTTTTATCACTTATATTTATGCCATTTTTTGTTAAAATTTACTTTTAAAACTATAGTTTTAAGTTCTGTAAAATATATTAAATTGGCAGTGACTGCATTTTAATGAATTGTCACACATTTTTCTATAGTGAATCACACATTAAATGAAAATCACACTTAGAGAGTTATTCCTGTATAATCACAAGAAATAATTTTTAAAATTTGTTCTCTTAACATGTTTTCTACTAACAGGATTATTTATCTTTAAATGACTTAAAAGCATTTCATTTAAATTTTATCAGTTTTTATTGTTTTATGAGTAATATCTAATATCTATTTTGGTTTTGAAATTGTATATTTCCAACAAACTGTTTCTCCAAATAGTCCTCTTGAATGTTCTCAAAAAATTTAAAGCATTAATTTTAAATAAATATACATACCTGGAAGGTGCAGACAAATATGGATCTTCATAGTATTTTGAGTTCTTTAAATGGCCAAAAGCATTTTCAAAAGCCGAAGACAAAGATGACGACGCATTTGTTTTTTGTTGCATTTCATTGGTTTCTTGTGGATCAGATTTAGATGATTTCTGTTTCTTTGCTTCATTTTCTGCTTCTATATTTTTTAAAATTTCACCAGGTTTAAAATGGGTGGGAATCTATAAATGAAATGATTTAATATAAACTTTAATAATTCTCATGTTTTGAAGTAATTGAAAATAGAAAAAAATACCAGTATATTTTTATTAAACTAAATACATCAAAATCATAAAAATAGCTCATAACTATATATTATTATACATTATTTTTGTAGTTTTTTGTTTTATGAATATTTGATTTTCAATATTAAACTACAATTCTTCATCTCAATAAAACAAGAAAATATCCAATTCTTCTTCAAAAGTCAAAAACTTTATCAGATTTTAATCCCAAAAATGTTTTAATTGTCAGCAACATAAATACAGAAGCATTCTAAATTCCAAAAATACACTCATTCTATTTTCCTGACAATAAATATTTCATTAACAATCTTTAATGTCCTGATAAAAGTTTGGAAGTCATTACTGTTAGATTATCAATCAGTATTTTAATTTTTCCCAATCTAAAATAAAACTAATGTATTTTATTATTATTATTTCTTATAAAACACTATATATTTGGGCATATTGAAGAATTTAAAGTGAAAAGTGATGAATTTTTATGGCTTTCTGAAAAGGATGGGTATTTGTAACTGGCTCAGGCTTCATCTTAATTTTTTCAGGCCTATCTGTAACTAACCTATAATAAAAAATTTGTATGTACAAGAAGTTTGACCAAATTTGTTGAAAAAATCTATTATAATATCAACAAAAGTTAATATCTAATATCAATGTTAAATAATAGTTTGATATACTAATAGCTTATTTTAATATTGCACTATTACTTTAATTGCATCTTTATTTNTGAAGTGATATTTGGATGAAATAATAACTAATTTATATAATATTATTCAAACTTCTTAATATTATAATGTTAATCAGATAGAAGAGATTTTTTTATATTTATTCCAGGAAGAAGAAGATAGGACTTCGCAGTTGTACGAACACCTACAGAAAAATGTTACAGAAAAATTAGATGAAAAATTCAAACAAACAAAATCAGTAAGCAATAAACTAACATTTCCAAATAAAAATATGTTTATAGGTAAACATCTATTGTTTAGTCATCAAAATGAGTAATTTGTTGTTTGTGTAACTGTTTTGTAAAACTCACAGTAATCTACATAATGGAAAAAATGATGATATACTAAGACCCCACTTAACGCTGATTCAATATAATGCCATCTGCTTGAAGCCAAAAAAAAAAAACCTCAAAATTTACGTTGATTTAAATTATCACGGCATTTTATTGATTCGTACATAATACAGTAGAGCGTCGTTTATCCAAATCAATTGGAGACTGAGGTTGTTCGGATAACTTATTTTTCGAATAACCAATTATGTACGAAAAAATATATTAACCTATTCCATGTTGAAATTTTTCTCCATTGCGTGTCGCTTTGCATTGAATTTTCGTCGATGTTAAGCCTAATGTAAACTTTTTAAAATAATAATCGTGGCTATTGTATCGTTAAAAATTATTTCTTTATTTTTTACAAACAAAATAAATATATTGAAAAATATAAAAACAACAAATTATACTTTAGAAGTTGATCTAGTATCAAAAACGTTCGATTCAGCACGACACACAGTCCTCAGAAAAACACCACACAAAAATGCCAGTGCTGCCAGCTAAAACACACACCAACAAAAAAATATTGGAGTAGCCCAAGATATAGCCAAAGATTGCAGCGCCACAGCACTAGCAAAAATTTAAATTTGCCGACTGGAATGCTTTCGGTTAACCGACATTTCGGATAAACGACACTCTACTGTACGATTATTTACAAACATGAACCAATCAGAAAAAGGTCGCAAAAAGATGTACTATCTTTAAATCTGTGTTTGTTTGATGCAATTTTGGAAAAAATATATCATCATGGATGCCATAGACAATATTGGCTTTGCTTGGCAAGAATTAACTGATGAATGCATGAACGAAGTGTGAAAGAAGTTATGGCTGAAGGTATCTAAGAATTCTCAACGAGAAGAGCCTGTTGCTGTATCGTTAGGTTGATCAAACTCAACCTAATCGATACAGAAGGATTAGGAGATGTAGGTGAACAAGATATTTCTGGTGAGAATCTTATCAAAGACGACCTTCAAGAACTGGCAGAACAAGGAATCCATGTAGAACTGGAAAATAGTGATTCAGAAAACGAAGAACCCAAAAAATTTCTCTACAGATTTCCTTAGTAAAAGTTTGGTAACGATAACTGAAATCGTTGATCAAACTGTAGCGAATGATCTAGATTTTGAAAGGCGTGCAAAAGCAAAACAAGGCATTTTGGATGTGATCTTCTGCTATCGACATTTGCTTAAGGTAAGAAAAAAGTGACAAATGAAACTTCATGACTTTATTGCAAAAGAACAAGAATTTCAGAAAAGTCAGGACCATCACAAAAAAATGAACTTTACATTTCTGTGTGCATATGTTTGTGTGTTATTTAACATATACTGTATTATAACACAAATTAATATAAAAATAACTCAAAGTAAATTTTTTTAAATTTTTGGTTGCATGTTCCCCTATCCCTATTTACTCTATGTTAAAATGACCTCATTTAACACTGTTTTGTTTAGTGTTTTGTCATCTAGAAATGCATCCCCCACATTAAGTGGGTCTTACTGTACTTTATTTTGAATATTTTCTAAAAAAGAAACTAAATTTCATATATTACTTATGAAAATTTATAGTACAGGTATTTGAAATTTAATATTTTTAGTTTTGAAAAATTGATTACTAATTTATATACAACGGTAAAAGCATAAATTGAATACAAAAAAAATATTTCAGAAAAATAAATTTGGTTTGAAACACAATTTAATCTATAATCTTCAGAAATGCAGACATTCTGTAAGCAAATAATAGAATTTATACTTAAACTTTAATTAAATATAATAACTTTCTAATAATTGCTGTTCAGTAATATAAATCTCTTCTAATTTTATATTAAACTTTTAAGGAAAATAAATATTTAGAATAAATATTGCGCTACAGAAAAATTATTTTTAATCAAATAATACGGCCATATTAACTATTGGATTAGAACTTGACTAATTAATTAGTCAAGTTCTAATCGAATAGACAGTCTGACCTTAGTTTAATCGTTAGAATATTTTGAGCTTGATTGTCTATTTTTTTTTGTGAAAAATTTGTCTCAGTTTTTGTCAGTTGCCTTGAATTTCACTGGCATGCCCACGTCCTCCTGGTAATTTTGCAAAAACATAGGGCAACCCACATGTTTTCCTGCTCAGTATGACGTTGTTTCTCATTGTGTGAGCATTACTCCGCACATCTAGTAAAACAATTCCATTGCTTCCTTTCCTTTTATCTCCATTATGTGGCCAAAGAAAGTTTCCAGAGCTAGCAGCCCTTTGAATGCCACGTTAAATGTTAATTTATTCTTTACATTATTTTTTATATTCATTTTATATTAATTTCTTATTGCTTTAAGTATTAAACACAGTATTTATTCTGTATAAAATGTGTTTTTGGTATGTATTTTGGAGTGTCTAGAACAAATTAATTGCATTTATGTTGATTCATATGGAAATAATTGCCTCAGTAGTTTCGAATTTTGCTGATTGTTTTTGAATGGATTATCAATGAAAGCCAAGATATCACTGTATACAGAATTAGTTTTGATTATAAAATTAAGCACTTTTATAACTTCTGTCTATAAAAGCATGAAAAATATATGAGTCATTTATTTTGAAAGTGGCCAAAGTCCATTTTTCAAAAAAATTAAGTCAGCTGTTATAATATTTACATTTCTACATCATTTTTCATTTTAAACAATTTGCAGCTTACTATATTCGAAATTCATTAATATTTTGCAAACAGAAAATTAGCTGGTTAATAGAACAATAAAAATTTTATTTTGAAAGTGGCCTAAGTTCACTTTGACAAGTTTCAAACTAATATGCAGCATATTATGGAGTAAAATTTTATTAGTTAATAATTTAATAAATCTATTAAATATAACACAATTTTACAACAATAATGCATTGATGGTGCTGCCCACTACCTCCAATAATCCAAACAGAAAATTCTTATATCCTAATTTGAATATAAAGATGAATATACTTGCTTGAATATAAAGAAAATAAAACAAATACTGTTATTGAGTGGTCTTAAAAAAATTTTTTAAAGAAGATTTTAATTTACATTTCCACCAGAGGCAGAAAGATACATGCCAAAAATGCAATCTATTACACGTTAAAATTAAGGCATTAAATAATTGTGAAGAAAAAGAGGCAAATTTTATGGAAGAACATGATACTTATTTTAGACGAGCAGAATTGGCTAGAAAATCATTAAACAAGACCAAAATCTAGCATTACATAATCCAGATCACTATTTCACTTTTTCTTTCAACCTACAAAAAGCAATGCCTTATCCAAAGTTCACTACTACTTCAGTTACATATTACAATTGTAATATGTAACATATAATAGTTACATATTACAATTGTAATATGTAACTGAATTTAAAACGTACATATTACAATTAAAAATACACCAGATTTGAAAGATTTAAAACATACATATTACAATTGTAATATGTATGTTTTAAATCTGGTTTTTCATAACTGTTATGATAACAATGTTTACATGTATCTCTGGGATAAAACCATTGCATACAGAGGTGCACAGGAAATAGCATCACATATTCTGAAACATTGAAAAAAATCTTAGAAATGAAAAACATGTTTTAGCTTACTGCGATAGGTGTGAGGAAAATAGGAATATAAAATTAGCTTTAATATGGTTAAAAGTTGTCCAATCTACTGAACATAAGGTGGATGTCATTGATCTAAGTGTTTGTTTATCTGTTTCACATATATTTCTACTGAATGATAGAGATTTCAGAGTTGTAGAAATGGCATTAAGAAAAAATAACTTTTTGTCCCTAGGATTATTACAAAGTTATAAAAAAGTGTTGAAAAAGTAAAACCATTTAAAACCCACATCCTCTAGAGACATGGGTTTTAAAAGGTTAACCCTAGCTATGGATTTTAAATGAATGCAAATGTCAATGATTTCAAATATAACTAACAGTCCAGATTTAATATATGCTTAACTTAAGTTTCTGCAGTTCATAATGCTTTATAAACATGTTAGGCATATAATCAGTGATTCAGAATATGCTTTTGAGTTGTTTTTATACTATCTCACAAATCAACCAAGCAAAACATCAATCCAGCAAAGCTTTAAAATCAAGCATGCCAGTGGTCTACTCTCATTTAATTTTTTGGACTGCAATTTGAAAAAATTGTAGACTTATAAATTCCCACTGTGTCTGTCCGTCTGTCTTTCCTCAATCTCAAGAATGGAGTTAGATAGAAGATGAATGTCAAGACTGATTATAGAAAGGTTATGGGCAGGAGGTCCTGATTAACTATATAAAAACTTCCCGTTTGTACTGGAAGTCACGTTATTTTAATTCAAAACTTTTCTCCAGAATGGAGTTAGATAGATGACTGGCACGATTCCATTGTTAACAGGAAAAGAATGATGTACAGTACAGTGGCAAGACACTAATTTGAGGTGGAGAGCATATTAAAATATATGCTCTCCACAGTTAAAAGAGGAGTAAGAAAGTGTACAGTTAAAAGAGGAATAAGAAATGTAGACAAAGAGTTGTAAAGTGGAGAGCATATTAAAATATATGCTCTCCACTTTACAACTCTTTGTCTACATTTCTTATTCCTCTTTTAACTGTACACAAATGGATTGCACATGGACTGACAAAACCACATTTGAGGGAGGATGCGGAGGTCTGATATCCCTACAGTTGCATTTGCACATTATGTCCATGCATTGCATTCAGTCACAAGTGTAACACATTAAGTCAACACATTGCAAGCGATCGACCAAAAAGCTTTGTGATCGACTCGTTGGCCACCCCTGCAGTAGAGCATCGATTATCCGAAACAATTTGAGACTGGAATTGTTTGGATAACCAATTGTTTACAAAAAAATGTATTAAACACAAAACCTTACTGTATATATTTTGTATCACACGTCTTACAAATACATACCTTACATAAACTAATACATTACAGTAGGCCTACAGTTTAGATGGGCAGGGAGGGGGAGAGTGCCGCAGCGCCACAGCACTAGCGAAAATTTGAATTCGTCAACCGGAATGCTTTCGGTTAACCGCTGTTGATCGATATTCGATGCTCTACCGTATTTTAATATTACAATTCTCCACAACAAATTTTATATTTACATTTGAACGTATAATAATATAATATTTGGTAGAAGTTACTTTTAGATAAATTGTGTATAGACTACATACATAAATTACCTAAAAGTAACTTGTAAAATCTTTCTTTCATTTGAGCCAAACACAAAATAAACTTTGTGCATCAAATGTTTTCTGTTCTTCATTATTTATTTATATAATTGAGAAAGTAAAAATAATGATGATTCACGTCGAATGAATACAGCAGTTTAACTGTAAATCTAGTAAGGGGGAAACATTGAATTTACAGGAATAGAAATTGCACAGTCATCACGTGTGATTCGAATATAAAAGTGCATACTAATTGACGTAAAATCGAAACGTGACGTCACTTTCACTTACGCTTTCTTCTTCGATTTCGTCTAAATCGGGTAATTCGAACGTTTCGTCCATCTTACACCGTTAAACCGTTTTTATTTTCGTAATGCGACTAATGTAAAGTTATTATATCTTTTAAATTCTATCGAAACATTAACCACCACGTTTTCTAGCAGACTATCGATGATTTTCAGTCTCATCTCGTGCCGTTCGAGATTATGGGTACAGATCGACATTCGGTCACGTGATATTTTTATTTACCGGAATTCCAAACTATTCGAGAACGTTTACAAATTTAAACAAATTAATCGAAATTTTTACGGTATAATAATTATTCGTTAGTATAAATGGCCGAAATAAATAATCGACCCGTCACGTGACGAAGTAAAAGTATCATCGGTTGGGGTTGACGGGAGCGAAATTTGAATTGGAAGTCGACTTTTAAAAGTTCCCGTTTCGTAATGTCGGCGGAAACGGATGGGCGTTTGGATTGCGCAAATTATACGGAAAGCGACGCGAACGAAGCGGAAAGATTAAGTTCGGAGATAATGGACGAGAAAAGACAAGAAAATATCGCTTACCAGTACTTGTGTCACTTGGAAGAAGCTCGATTATGGATTCAGTCGTGTATCGAAGAAGAACTGCCACCCGTTACGGAACTAGAAGAAAATTTCCGTAATGGAGTTTACCTTGCTAAATTAGCTCACAGAATTTCTCCCAATACCGTTCCCGCTAAGAAGATCTATGATCCTAATCAAGAGATATATTTAAAGAAGGGTCTGCATTTCCGACACACGGACAATATTAACCATTGGTTAAAGGCAATGGAGGATGTTGGCCTGCCTCTTCATTTCCATCCCGATACGTTTGACGTGTACGATAAGCGAAATATACCGAAAATGGTGTACTGCCTCCATGCTCTTAGTTTATATCTGTTCCAACTCGGACGTGCTCCCAGGATTCAGGATCTTTACGGACGTTTGCATTTCAGTACGGAGCAGATACGTGCCATGGAGAGGCAATTTGAGAGAGACGGTGTCGTTCTGCCGGATTTTGGCAGGATACAGGATTCTATTTGTCGGGCAAACAGGCAAGTTACGGTAGATAAAATTGGAGCCGCGATACTGAACGGCGACGTTCCGGGTTTGAGGAAGGCTCTCGGGTCTTTGGTGGGCGAGGTCGAGATCGATCCGGGAAACGTGGATGCTTACCTGCAATTTTTAAGTAATTTGTATAAAGATCGCGATGTGAGTTGGGAACGGTTGATTTCTACGGTGGCCGAAGCTAATCGGAACGTTAACATCCAAAATTTTGTAAGTAATTTCAATCTGTCTTTAGATTATCGAGATAAAGATATGATGATAAAATACTTGCAAAACTCGCCGGAACCGTTAGATATTATAGAATCTGCTGTTGTTTTCTACATGGAAGAATTTTCTGTGATAAGAAAGGAAAATGGACATAACTTGACTTACAAAGAAATAATGGGTGGACTGAAAGTTCTGACTGCCATTGCACAAATTAATCAAATCCTTGTGAACAAAGGCAATCTATTTGAAGGCTTGACTGATAAAAAAGCTCATATCTGTGGAGTTAATGTGCAGTTTGTTCCTCAATATGAAATTTTATTGTTACAAATGAGAAAAGATAAAATTCTTAAAGGATTTATCCCCTTTCTAAATCATTATGAAATTCAAGAAGCAGTTGATAAGGTGAACAAACAAATACTTAATCGGGAAGCTATACGTAGGATAAATCAGACAATACGTCAGAATGACTGTAAGAAGCTATTTAAAGTTTTGTCTTGTCCAGAAGCTTCCATTCTTTGTGTAGAACCAAAAAATTCTGATTTATATCAGTTTTTATTTGCTGAAAAACAATCTAAATGCAAAGATGAATATATTTATCAAGAGGAGATCCAATCTATTGTGAATGAAGCCAACAGAATAGCATTAGATGCCAACTGCACATGCATAACAATTATCACTGTCAATAATGCAGTTAAGGATGAAAACTCTAGTATTTTGAAAGAAGCATTGCAAATGCTAAATCCTGTTTTGTCTAATAATTTAAAAATTCTTCCTCATTGTATTGATAATTATCTAGAGAATTTAAAAAAATTAAAAATTAAGAAAGAAAAATGGAGCAAGAATTTAGGTAAAGATGATATTGAAACGTCTTGGATAACATGTCAATTACATAATTACTTTTATTCTTTCAATGTTAAGACACTTGATTGTCATTGGATGCGTCCTCAGCTTGGCGTGGACTCTTGTTACCTAGATCAAAATGATATCACTTCAATAGTAACTGGAGTAAACTCAGAAGATAAAAGAAAACAATTTCTCAAATTCATTGAGCCAAAAATTGTGATATTGCAAAGTTATGCTCGTGGATTTCTTACCCGATCACATTTTTCTGCCAGAATGAATTCTTTTAAGCTTAACGTGGATAAAATTATAAAGATTCAAGCATGGTGGAGAGGTTTAATACAAAGGAGAAAATACTTAGTTCAAAAACATGCTTTAGCTATTAAAACTCAGAAAATTATAAAGGTGCAGTCTTATGTTAGAAGATGGCTGGCTAAAAGGCATTTTCAGTCTCTTTTGCTCAAAGAATGTGCTGCAAAGAAAATTCAATTATTTTGGAGAAGTTATAAAACCAGACAAGATTTTAAACTTATACTACATTCCTCTGCTCCTCCTTTAAGAGTAGTACATAAATTTGTTTATTTGTTAAATATCAGTGATAAAGATTATAAAGATGAGTTAGATTTACAAAAAACGAGAAATAAAGTGGTGCAGACTATAAAATATAACCAAAAATTAGAAAAGGAAGTAAATGATATGGACTTAAAAATTGCCATGCTGATTAAAAACCGTCTGACTCTTCAAGAAGTGATTAGTCAAAGAAAGAGGACTTTAACAGGAAAGAAAGATGCACAACTATCAGACATATCATGGCTAGGCAACAAAAAGGGACTTGGAGCTTTAAGCAAAAATAGCAGAACAAAATTAGAGGCTTTTCAGCATCTTTTCTACACACTTCAGACTGAACCTAGATATCTTGCAAAATTGCTACTGATCATACCAATAAATCAAGCTTCTAAGTTCATAGAATCGCTCATTTTAACATTGTATAATTATGGTTCTACTCCTAGAGACGAATATTTACTGCTGTGCTTGTTTCGTACAGCACTCGAGGAAGAGATCAAAACTAAAGTTGATCATGTTGTAGACATATTAACAGGAAATCCTCTAGTTATCAAAATGATAGTAGGCTTTAATAGAAACGGACAAGGTCAGACATGTTTACGTGAATTACTCGGACCTGTGATAAAACAAGTTATAGAAGACAAGACTTTGCATATTAATACAAATCCAGTCGAGATCTACAAATTATGGATTAATGAAATGGAAACACAAACTGGAAAAATGAGTTCATATCCCTATGTAATATCCCAAAGTGAAGCTTTACAACATGAAGAAGTAAAAAATAGGCTTGATAGGACTATCAGAGATTTAAAAGAGAAAACATTATTATTTTTTGATACTATTATTCATTCCTTGGATAAAATTCCATATGGAATATTATATATGGCTAAAATATTGAAAAATGCTCTACATAATAAATTTCCCGATGTCACAGATAAGGAAATTTTAAAAGTCGTAGGGAATTTGCTGTATTACAGATACATTAACTCTGCAATTGCAGCTCCAGATGCTTTTGACATCATAGATGTTGGATTAGGTAATGCATTAACGATAGAACAAAGACGTAATTTGGCATCAATTGCTAAACTATTACAGTTTGCAGCATCTGGTAAAAAGTTTAGTTCTGATTCTCACCATCTTACTTGTTTAAATCCTTTTTTGAAAAAGTGCCACGAAAAATTTAAAGAATTCTTCAGGAAAGCTTGCACAGTGAAAGAACCAGAAGCTTATTTCAAAATGGATTGTTATTCAGAAGCTGCTCTTATTGCTCAGCCTACAATTTATATAACTGTGCAAGAACTGTGTGATGTACATTGCTTGTTATTGCAGTATGAAGATGAAATTGCACCAAAATCTTCTGATCCTTTGCATCAATTATTATCTGATCTTGGTCTTCCATCAACTGTGAAATCACTAATGGGTGAAGATTTAGAATCAACTCCAACCTCCACTATTGGACAGACTGAAGTTTGTCTTACTTTAACCAACAAATTTTTAGTAAACGAAAGTGAATCATCTGATGTTCAGCAAGTATATGTGAAAACAAAACAAATGATAATAGACCTTCTTCATTATAGAAATGTAAAAGAAACTTTGTTGGATTTGCTTACTACTAAGCCTAGTCAAGAGGAGGAATTGAAATTTGCAAACAGCAAGGAAAATCTATCTTTATCAAAGAATGTGCCAAGATTTAAAATCTCTAAGACTGTTGAGCATAAATCATTGTATAGCTTGCAAAATGATTTGTTGCACAATTTATCTATTTTAGAACTGGCAGAATTTGTATCAAGAAAGAATAATTATCAAACTATAATAAATGATATAGGAAAAGACATTTGTAATCGCCATTATTATAAACAGTGTTGTAAAAAGGAATTAAAGAAATTAACTGAAGCTCAAGAGAAATTGAATAAAAAGTTATCTTTTTACGAGGATAAACTTGAATGTTACAACCAATACATTAAAAGATGTTTAGACAATTTATCATCAGGAAAGAAGAAAGTACATTTTAAGAATTTATTTTTTAAGAATAATAAAGAACAGGAGGTAAAATGTAAAATCTGTTTGAGATATACTGGAGCAAAATTATACGAAAAAGGCATTCTATTGGAAATTACAGATATAGATCCTTCCCAACTAAAACATGCAACATTTGATATTAGTCCTACTGAAGAGATGGGAGTATTTTTTATTTGTGCCAAATTTATGGGAGTTGCAGTAGAAAAAGTAGAACTAGACATTCAAGATTTGCTACAGTTACAGTATGAAGGAGTAACAATCATGAAGATATTTGGACGAGCTAAGGTTAACGTTAATTTGCTTCTATACTTACTAAATAGCAAATTTTATAGTAAAGGATTATGAAATGTTAATTTTCTTATATTCTTTATCTTTCTATCTATGGATGTTTCCTCTGTATATAATTTTTGCACTTGAATTGAAATTTTAAGATTTTTTAAGATTTAAAATCTTGGAAATCATTTTTTATTTGTTAATTATGTAAAAATTAAATTTTAATGTTTAACATATAAAATGTAATATACTTAAATTCCATTTACAAACTAAGTTGAGTAAAATGATGCTTTTTATATTTATGTAAATTTTTCATTTAATTTTAAAGCTGAGCATTAGATTTTAAATAAATTAAACTAAAATTTTATGGCATTTAAGCTTCAATAAGACACATACATAACAGAAAAATTAATATTTATTATTCTCAACAAGTTAAATAAGTTCAGTATATACAAGTTAGTTGACAATAGAATTCTCTGTCTCAAGAGGTTTTTCATCGTCGTCATCCTCTCTCAATTTTGTTCTACATGATGCATTTTTGAAAGAATCTCTTAAACGTTCAAAAAAAGTCTTTTCAACTAAATCTTCTGTGTGATGGAAGTCGAAGTCTGCCACTTCTACGGAATACTTCTTTCGCTGCTGAATGTGATATGCAATGCCCATGATGATGATTACGATCGTCAATACACTGCACACTATTGGGATTATCACAGTAGATAGCTGGGGTTGCCTGGAAACTAAAATGTATTTTTATGTATTATTCTATAGAAATGTATTAAAAAAGTGAATTACTAAAATCAATACAGTAGAGCGTCGATTATCCGAAAGTCAATTATCCAAAACGTTAATTATCCGAAAGAATTCCAGTCGGCAAATTTAAATTTTCGCCAGTGCTGTGGTGCTACAATCTTTGGCTATGTCTTGAGCTACTCAAATATTTTACGTTTTTGATACTAAATTAACTTCTGAAGTATAATTTTTTATTGTTTTTATATTTTTCAATATATTTATTTTGTTTGTACAAAATAAAGAAATAATTTTTAATGATACAATAGTCACGATTATTATTTTAAAAAAGTTTACGTCGACGAAAATTCAACGCAAAGCAACGTGCAACGGAGAAAAATTTCAACATGGGATAGGTTAATATATTTTTACATACATAATCGGTTATCCGAAATATCGATTTTCCGAACAACCCCAGTCCCCAATTGATTTGGATAATCGACGCTCTACTGTATATGATAATAACTAAATATATATAAAGTTACCAATGTCTCATTTTACAAATCAGAATTACTGTATTTTCACATACAGGGTAATTTTTAATTCATGCAAAATTTTCAACTTAATTCTCATTCAGTTGAAAAGTATAAATGTTTAAAGTTATTTAGTTGAGATAAAATTCAAAAAGTACTATTTCTATATAGTACATCATTAACATTAATCAATCACAGACACAAAAAATGTAATCAGTTATTTTCAAAATAGTGGTGCTCACTTTAAAACAGTGTGTATTTATCGTAAACAATTAACACACCAATTGGAGAATTAGAATTTTGATGATATCAGTGGTGTTATTGGACCATTCTTTGAAAAGAATGTTACTTCTGCTGCATATGTTGTATTATTGGAAAAGAAGTTTATCCCAAAATGCTTGTTGGGCATAAACATTGTTGTGCTTGGTTTACGCATGATGATGATGATGCAAGGCCCCATTGCACAAAGCAAGTGTTCATAAGCCTTTACAGCATGTTTGAGAAGCATGTAATCAGATTAGATTATGAAAAATATGGAGTGGCTGCCTTATAGCCCTGACTTAACCCCATTAAAAAAATCATGGGTTTATCTAGAGTTGATAGAAAATAAAAAAAGAAATAATAGTGATTCCAAGAAAGAGCTTTATTACCATTATTGAATGTTTCAAAAATCAGTTAAAAACTATTATTGAAAACAAAGGTGGTCATTTTAAAAACCTAATTCATTATGGCTGAAAGAAAGCAAATATGTAATCCCTGTGTGCTAGGTTAAGAAGATATGTTTTGTACTAGACGGCGCCAGTTGGCTAGTGTCACATACCTTGGTCAAAGGTCATCTTCTTTGTTCTAGGTTTGCTACGTCCCTGTGTAGCACGTGTCTCCCCTCTCTTTGTGCATGTAGTCGTGTTACATATAACTGTGTATTTCCGTACATTGTAAGATA